GCGATAATGTAATTATTTTCATATCGATGAAACAACCGATTCATGTGGACGTTATTTCGCAAGTTTGTTGATTGGAACTGTGACCAGTGAGAAATGTGGCACTAAATACTTGTTTGGCATAAAAGCTTTGGAAAAGACAAATAATAATACCATTACAAATTTATGAACTTTTTTCTTCCGGAACTAGTTTCAGTTGAAAAAATCATATTAATGTCATCAGATTCTGCTACATACATGTGCAAAGCTTCATCCAACCTAAAAATATGTTTTCCTCGCTTAATCCATATTACACGTTTAGCTCATGGTAGAAATAGTGTGGCTGAGGAAATTAGAAATTTAGCAGTAGTAAACGATTTAGCCAACAATGTTAAAAAAAATTGTGAAATCACCTTTATAGTTGTATTTTATATCAAAAACCAGTGGTGGCTCGTGACCTTTTGAAATGGGGTGACACAATTTGATTGATGAGTTAAATATGAAGATATAAATCAGTTTGTTATTACCAATTAATAGACCAAAATGTGTGTGGGCGATGGTTTTAACTCATTACTGAGGGGAAACACAAAACAAAACAATTTATTATTTTTTTCACAACCGGACATCCACGAATATTTATCATACGTGTTACGTCTATTAAAATATCAATGAAAGTGTCTCGTTTTGCCACGAACACTTTTTTTTATTAGTAAATCGAAATTTTTCACTAAAATTCTACCGTCGTGACACATAGAACGATTTTAAATATTCAACCAAATGCATTATTTTTATTTAAAATCAAACAATTTCACTCACGCAGAATGAAAATTAAAACCCGCTATTAAATTACTGCTGGACCCGATCCTTCCCAATAGCGCGACTAGACGCACGATTTCCATGGCAACGGTGTAAACAAAACGTCTAAATGAACCATTTGGTTCCCGCCTCCGCTTTTATTAGCACTTTAGCCGCAATAACATATCATATATCCAAGACATAACATCTTTAGATGTAAGTGGATATAAGTTTTGATATATTTTGTACAAGTGGAGTGAGATAAAAAAATAGTTTTGATAATTATGACACAAATTTCCAGATAGTTTTTTAAATTTTGAAAATTAGTATTTTCCAATGTCAAATGTGTTTGTAGACCTTGTAATTTTGGGTAGGCACGTGCCCTTGTACCCCCTGGCAGCAGCCGCCCCTGCCAAAAACTACAATACAATTAAGAATTTTGTTAATGAACTATCAGATAATGCCACTTCTGTTAAAGAATGTCAAATAATTTTTGTTAAAACAGGACTGCCATCTCAATTGGCATTTATTGCAGCCAATTTTTCCGTAGTTGCTGATACAATTTTAAACTTGTATGTAACAATTTACCACTGGTAGATTCTATTCAGCTTGTAACAAATTGTTTTCAAAAACTATCCAATGTTCAAGGTAAAACAGGTGAAAAAGTTTTTCAGAAATTTAAGTCTGTTTTAGAAAAAAATGTAGGTTTTACTACCTCGTCGCTTGTGAGCCAAATTTTGGGAGGAGAATTTGTAAATGTGGATATAGATCCAGATATAATAGAATTAAAAATTAGAAAAAAATTTTGAAAAACATTTAATAATCAATTGGTTTAATAAAAAATTATAGCTGAAATAGTACAAACACCGTCCAAACAGCATTTATTATCCGCACAAAAAAACTCTCTAAAAACTCAAACCCGCTGAAACATTCGCCAAAAACAAATGTTAACAATCCCACCTCCACCGTCCTCCGGAATTGCTTAACCAAACACTCGTCTCTTTTCGAACTGATACCCGTTATTACGATAGTCTTAGTGTCATATTTTATCACGAATTTTAAATGACATAGCGGCGAAACTCAGCTGTTTGTTCCATCGATCGCTCCGCAAACACTTGTCCTTCCTGACGAAAACTAATTTTGTCCACTGAAGGATAAAGAGCGCTACTAATTCGGTCGAACCGCATAAAATGATAATAAAATCACGATGGATGTAATCTTCATCGAGCCCATTACGGCCCGTTGTGCCGATAGACTCAATTAGTGGCCATGATATTTGTGGAAATTACGGTGTCACAGATGATTTTGTCGCGATACGGCGAACTGTGCTTGATTTTATTTCGACAGACGGTCTAATGGATACCGAACTGTCGATACGTTTTTATGAAGTTGTGGTGTGGAAGATTATATTGGTTACTGGATAACTAGTTGATGTACTCGGGAGTTCGTTGACGCGGTATCGACTAAAGCTTTTTCAGTTTTTGCGACATCGGGCTTCAGTGCGAATAAAAAGAGTGGAGGTATTTTTAGAGTACTAAAATTAATAATTTCGATGGTCTCCTACATGTCGTGTTGGGTCCCCTGGGCTTTGACCCTTCACGAACACATTTACTGTTCATGTGTACGACAAAAATACTCACTTCGCGGGTGCTAAAATTTAAAAAAATGGGAATCATATGTGTGGTCAGGTTTGTCTTTCGTTTATTAGAGCTTTTATTACATAGAATATTTCGCTGACAAAATTTAATCCAGCCAAAGCTAATCTAGAGAATTTGAATTTCAGCCAATGACAGCCAATGACAGCGATAATGAAATCACAGATTGAATTTAATTTAGCTCATAGGAGAGCGGAGTTTTTTGTTTAAGCTCGCATTTTTTGTATAATTAATTTGTGTACTCGTTCTGCCCCGTTTAAACGAATATTTTCAGTTTTTTTAAGTTCTCCTTCAAAGTGCCGTTTTGTCTACCCTCTGCGCAATTCATGGACATATTGGTTTCGTCTATATTTATTTTGTTCATTTTGACACTTTTATTTAGCTATTACCTTTGCGAAATTTATGAACGTATTCCTCTCACTCTGTATACCGATGTACCGCTTGGTATCGATTATTCGTCTCGGTGTCTGCATTCCTGAAACCTTTATAGATCTCTTAACTTCCTAATTTTCGAGCGCAACATAAGAGAAAGAGCGAGATTTCAGATTAACTTTCTCCCTGGTGAATTGCATTTTTAAAAACCGGAAACTATTTTCATCAAAAGAATGATCGACTACTTCATGAATTTTGAAACTGATGAAACTTTAATAACAAGCTGCATTATTCGTTGGCAAGGGTGGTGGAGGAGTCAAATCGTAAAACGGCTATTTTCGTTGGTGCACTATACAAATGTGCGACGACCGATAAAAGATTGTTCGAAAACTATTTTTAGTACAATACAAAATTTGTATTTCGTATTATGTAGGAATTTTATAAGTATATCTTAACCGACAATAAACAACAATAACTACTCTAATTGCACAAAAAAGACTACTAAACAATCTAAACTTATGAAATGAGTTTTGCCACTTCTAATTTATTATTTGTTAAGAAACTGTATACGTTTGTATTTTTTGTGTTTTTACTTACGATAATTTTAGTTCTAGCTGGGTATCGGCTTACCTGGAACAAATAAAAATTATTACTTACTAGAAAAAGTAATACAGTGAAAATTTTACAAATTACGTCAACACAAAAATGGAAACCACGTCATTAGTATTCTGGGGGACATAAATCTACATGTATTTTTTTATGACAAGCTCGCATTTGTAAGCGAATTGTTTCATTTTTTTAAGATGACTTCACCAATATTAAAAAAAAAGTCAATGTTTATTTATATTTTTATTTCCGGAGCGTAAGCTAATAAATTATTGCTCTACTAGGGTATGAAAAAATCGGTCTCCCGTTTCTGTATGTCTGTCGCCTGGATTTATTTTTATTATACAGATAATTTCCAAAACTACTCTGCCGATTGTTGCGAATTTTATGTGGACCTAACATATTATTCTGGTTTATAAATCCACTTTGACTTTGTTTATTATTAAAATTTTTGTTGTTTAATAAAATTATAATCGTCAAATCAAGTCAGGTCAGATTAGTTCAGGTCAGGCCAAATCAAGTTTAGACCTGATGCCAGTCAGAATATAAAACTAATAGTAATTTGTAATTTTCGTCATTCGTCCTTCGTCCTTTTCGTCCTTCGTGCTTCGACCTTTTCGTCCTTCGTCTTTCGTCCTTTTCGTCCTTCGTCCTTCGTCCTTTCCGTCCTTCGTCCTTTTCATCCTTTGCGTCCTTTGCCCTTTTCGTCCTATTTTGTCCTTTTCGAATTGAATTTGAATTGAATTGAATTAATTCAATTCAATTCAACTTTCGACCTTTTCGTCCTTTATCGTCCTTTTTCGCCCTTTTCGTCCTTTTTCGTCCTCTTCGACATTTTCATCATGTTTCGTCCTTTTTGGTCTTTTTCGTTCTTTTTCGTCCTTTGTTGTCCTTTTTCATTCGATTTCGTCCTTTTCGTCCTTTTCCGTCCTTTTTCGTCCTTTTCGACCTTTTCATCCTTTATCGTCCTGTTTCGTACTTTTCGACCTGTTTAGTCCTTTTCGGCCTGTTTCGTCCTTTTTCAGCCTTTTCGACTTTTTCGATCTTTTCGTCTTTTTTCGTTCTTTCTGGTCCTTTTTCGTCTTTTTCGTTCTTTTGCGTCCTTTCCGTCCCTTTCGTCCTTTTCGTTCTTCGTCCTTTTCGTCCTTCGTCCTTTTCGTCCTTCGTCCTTTGTCCTTCGTCCTTTGTCCTTCGTCCTTTGTCCTTCGTCCTTCTCGAACAAGATGGCGACGAGTGAAGAAGTGTTTTCGGATTCTCAAAGAAGTGAATCGGAAATAAAGTGCGATAAATGCAAACAAGTGCTAAGAAGCAAGTGTACACGTTGTGTAGTTTGTGGGCTAACTTATCACCCTAGTTGTGCTCGTGAAAAAAATAAAAAAAAGGAAGTGTTTAGTTTCTTTACCGAAACAGAAATGGAATGTCTTCATCACAATAAAACAGCGACTTCAGAGAGTACATCTGTCAAGATAGGAGATGAAGAAACTTCGATAACGGAAACAGTAATTAGTTTCCTAAAAAGCAACACCTTTTCTAGCATCTTACGCAAGGCAATAGAAGCAACCACCGTCTCCCTGCGTGACGAAATTCGAAGTCTTAAACAAGAGCTTAACAATGTGAAGAGTTCCAATGTTGATATGATAAAAATGTTGACAGATTATCCCAAAAATAATTTGTTGAAGGTGCCCTCTTTCGATGTCGATGTGTTCTCCGATATATCTTCCGATGGCATAAACGATACAAACGAGTGGAAAAAAAAAGTACACTATAAAACATCACGCGATAAGAGTGTCCAAAACCGATCCGGCCAAAAAACTAATAAACAGCAGAAAATTCCGAAGGATAACAATAATAAAAAAAAAAAAAAAAAAAAAAAAAAAAAAAAAAAAAAAAAAAAAAAAAAAAAAAAAAAAAAAGTGACCTTTGGTTGTTCATAAATTTCTTAACAAGGCGGAATCTTTGGATAAAACTCAATTCAATAGCTTTATTTGACTCAAAAGGACTCATAATAGTGCAAGGTACTGTATTCACTATTACAACAAAGTATTTAACTCGATATTTGCATTTAATTTCCTTTTTTCATAACCAACTGTCAACGCTGACATTTCCAACTAAAAAATGAGTCTAAACCAAATTGTTTCGCCTACAACGGAGAATGTTCAACTCGAAATCCGACGAACACCTATTACTGCAGTCTCCGAAGAGGTAGATGGAGCAAGTGGCATCACCTCGGGAAATACTACCACAAGGACAATTAACAACATATTGGTCTCTAATGTTTCTCAGACAAATCAGCCTCAGACCATTAGAAGACGAGAAGAACCAAAAAAGCGTAAAAAGTGGTCTCTAGACATGAATTTACATATTATGCGCTTATATTATAAAATTACAAACAATGAAACTGATGTAAGTAATTATCGTACAGCTCTACACGAAGCCTTCAGCCGTGAGTACCCAAATTTTCCAGTTACCATTCAAAATTTAGCAGATCAACGTAGAGCTATTGTTAAAAATAACTACATACCTCAACTTACTCTAGAACAATTAAAAAATGAAGTTTCCAAAACCATTAATCCACTTCCTGAAGATATCAACAAGACACCACCAAATACATTACTAACTGACACATCTGTCACCAATTTGTCAAAAACAACATCTCAAAATAAGATACCAATTATACCACAAAATAGTAACAGTAGTCTATCAAATACACCAGAGACACCGACTGACGCATTTACTAAAGATTTATTAAACAAAACACCTCAAAATAAGATCACAACCATAACACAAATTACAAACACAATATCAAACAGATCCCAAACATTAACTGACAAATCATTTAACAATTTATCAAGAACAATCCAAAACGAAATTAACATCACAGATAATCTACAAAACACATACTACAACAACGAAGACACATTAATCAAAACTGTAAACAACAATTTTAAATTTCACATTAATTTCCAAAATGAAATTGAAGACAAATTTAAATTAACTTTCGAAACATGTTCCAAATTAAAACCAAATGATAGACATTCACTTCCCCGCCAGTATTATTCTAAAAAGTTTCTAGCAATTGTAGAAATAATGAACTCCTTCATTTTACCAAAATATCTCACAAACTCGATCTCTTTTGAAAAACTTCATACAATTATCTACTGTGCAGCTTTAACTTGTATTCAAATTAACACATGTAAAGATAACATAATAAATACAAACACCAATCGTATACCTTCGACCCCTCATTGGGAAACACGGTTAAATTATAAAATTAATAACATTAGAAAACAACTAGGTCAAATAACACAGTACCTTAGAGGAGTTAAAACACCACATATCATGACATGTATGCATTCGATACTGACCAACAATAATTTTCATCAAACTGATTACAATGAGTACAACACAACATTATCCCAAATTAAAGATACCCTATTACAAAAACTTTCCTTATATAGCAAACGACTTAAAAGATACAAACAATCACATCTCAGAAAAATTCATAACACTAAATTTTTAAACAACGAAAAACTATTCTATCAACATTTAACTAATTCAAACAAAACTCAATTATCCGGTGAACTTCCAAGTTCACAGGATGTAACAACATTTTGGTCAAAACTTTGGTCTGAAGAATTTGAATTTAACCAATCTGCCAAATGGATTCCTCATATATCCCATAAACTATCCACAGTTACACCAATGAATGATCATCAGATAACACTTGCCGAATTAATAAATACCATCAATAAGACACACAACTGGAAATCACCAGGACCAGACAAAATCCATAATTTTTGGATAAAAAAATTTAATTGTGTACATATTCATTTACTAAATCACTTAAATCAGTTCCTTCTTGACCCATCCTCCTTTCCAACATTCTTATGTCATGGTGTAACATACTTAAAACCTAAAGATAACGACACAAAAAATCCATCAAAATACAGACCTATCACATGTTTACCAACAATCTATAAAATATTAACCTCATGCATTACACAAAAAATCTATCAACACTGTTTTAACTCTAACATCATTAATGAAGAACAGAAAGGATGTATTAAAGGATCCTTTGGTTGCAAAGAGCAATTAATCATAGATTCCATCATCTGTGAACAAGCTAGAAAAGAAAACCGAAACATATATACTGCTTTTATTGATTATAAGAAAGCTTACGATTCTGTCCCTCATTCCTGGCTATGCAAAATTCTGGAATTATACAAAATTGATACTAAAATCTGCACTTTTCTAAAATGTTCCATGGAATTTTGGAAGACCACCCTTCAAATAACCTTAAATGAACAAACAATTCAGTCAGATCCAATAATGATCCGAAGAGGAATTTTTCAAGGCGATTCTCTTAGTCCGTTATGGTTCTGCTTAGCAATAAATCCCCTCTCCGATATCCTGAACAGTTGCAATTATGGGTTCAATATAAGAATTAACAAACAAAGAGAAAACAGAATAAGTCACTTGCTGTATATGGATGACATAAAAATATATGCAAATACACAAAATCAGTTAACAAACCTATTAAATCTGACTGAACAATTTTCCGGTGATATTGGTATGTCTTTTGGTATTGAGAAATGTAAGACCCAAGCAATCAGAAAAGGCGTCCAACACCAAGTACCACATATAACCCAGAATAACGAAATAATCGAAGCACAAGAACGAAACGATACATACAAATATCTGGGTTTCTGTCAATCATCACACATCAATCATACCAAAACGAAAACACAGTTGAAAGATCAATACCTAGCGAGATTGAAATTAATATTGAAGACACAGTTAAATGGAAAAAATTTAATGAAAGCAGTAAATACATTCTGCGTTCCACTACTAACATATTCTTTTGGAGTCATTAAATGGTCCAAAACTGATCTTGAAAATTTAAACATCGCAACAAGGAAAATCTTCACACAGTATAGAAGGCATCATCCAAAATCGTCGATTGAAAGATTCTCATTACCAAGACAGAATGGAGGAAGGGGTTTCCAGAACCTAGAAAACTTATGTCAGAGACAAATCTCAGATTTGAAGAAGTATTTCTTGAAACGAGCGGAAAGAAATGAAATGTTTCGCACCATCACAAGAGCAGATTTGAACCACACACCCTTAAATCTGTCGAACACCGAAGAAATCCACACCCCCCACACAATAGATAAAATAATAAGTGGGCTAAAACAAAAACAACTACATGGAAAATTCTACAAAGACTTAGAAGAAACTCATATCAATAAGAAGATGTCATTGATTTGGTTAAAAAAATCAGGTTTGTATGCCGAAACAGAAGGATTTGTGTTTGCTATTCAAGACCAAGTAATCAATACCAAGAATTACAAAAAATACATCATCAAAGATCCGAACATAAAAAACGACTGCTGTCGCCTCTGCAAAGCAAAACCTGAAACGATCCAGCACATAATCTCTTCTTGCAGCATCCTAGCACAATCTGACTACAAAGCTAGACACGACAACGTCGCCAAAATCATCCACAAAGAATTAGCAACACTTATGAACTTAATCGAAGATACGACACCGTATTACACTTACATTCCATCTCCGTTCCTTGAAAATAACAAATACAAATTATACTGGGATCGCACAATACTTACAGACTTAAACATTACAGCTAACAGACCAGACATCATACTTATCAAGAAACACACGAACGAAGCCATTCTCATTGACATTGCTGTTCCCAACACAAACAACATTATTCAAACATACCACACCAAGATTTCAAAATATCTACAGTTATCGATAGAAATGAAATCCATGTTGAATCTTAAAAAAATTTCAATTGTACCTCTAGTTATCTCTAATGTAGGTGTAGTTCCAAATAGCTTAGTTGAGAATTTAAAGTCTTTGCATTTGAATGATTCAATAATTATCAAAATTCAAAAAGCTGTTTTGTTAGGAACATGTCATATTGTTCGTAAGTTTCTTGAACAGTCTGATCATGTTAGTCAGATTAGGTTAGCACCAGTAGGTCAGAGTAGTGTAGGTCAATTTTCAAGTGATGCGCGGATAAATGGTCGGTAGTTACGCTAGACTTTTGGGGATGGGGTGAGATTAGAGAATAATAGCAGACTAATTTGTATGCTGTAATTCTAGAATCTCGAAAGTTGTTCTGTTAATCTAATCAATGCATATCATTACTTGGTCTTAGTACCCGTAATGATAGAAGTCTTGCCTGAATGCCGGTCATTTCCGGGTCAGTGGTGGGTCTTAATAAATCCGTTTTAGACCCAAAGGTTATCCCGTTTATTCCATCTAATCCATCATTAAACGTAGCATCGTCGAACATGGAAAAAAATGAAAAAAATGAAGAAATATCTTCTCACAACGCCCTAAATGATGCCGAAGGTTTTCAAACTGTTGTCTCAAGAAAGAAAAAGCGTAACTTCATTCGAGGTAAAGCTTCTGCTACAAATGAAAATGATACGTTGATAAAGGCTGTGCCGCGAAATGGGTATATCTATGTCGGTAATTTACATCCAAACACGTCTGAAAACGATTTGAAGCTATTCTTAAGGTCTAAATTCTCTGATAAAGAAATTAGTGTTGACAAACTTCCTAAGAGGCCTACTGCCAAAAGCGTGTCATTCAAAATCACAGTGGAGAAAACAATTTTTAAGGATTTCTTCAAGGAGGAATTATGGCCGGAAGGAATTTTAGTGAAAAAATTTTACTTCTTAAAAAACGAAAAAGTGAATACGTCCCTAATGAATTAATAGAAAATTTCTGTTTCAAAGGGGCCAGTTTTCGAATTTTATTTTTAAACATACAGTGCATTAGAAACAAATTTAATATGCTTTTTTCAGAAGTGGAAATTCTAAAAATAAATTGTATCTGCCTTTGTGAACATTGGTTGAACCATGTCCAAATCGATAATATTCATGTGCCCGATTTCAACACGGCAGCATTTTTTGCGCGGTCTTCAAAGAAGCATGGAGGAGTCATGCAGCTGATGCACCAAAGTATCCCCTTCAAGATTCTGTCTGATAAGGTATCAGCACTTTCTGCTGAGGTGGATTGCGAATTATGCGGCGTACTTATCACTAAGTTAGATTTAATTTTAATAACGGTTTATCGCTCGCCAAAAGGCGATTTTCATAAATTTATTGATACTATAGTCATTCTTCTTAATGAAATTCATTGCAAATCTAAATACGTCATAGTGGGTGGAGATTTTAACTTATTATTTGGCACTAATGATGCAAAAGCCAATTATTTTTGTAATCTTTTGTCTAGCTACGGCTTATATTCTACTGTCAGATTTAAAACGCGTTATAACAACACACTTGATAATGTGTTTACTAATATTAATTCAGATATGATAAATATAACACCTGCTAAACTTTATCAGTCGGACCATACTGGAATATGTGTAAATGTTACTCTAAAGGAAGCTGTATTCGATAACTCATTTATCCCTAAATATGTAAGACCCATCTCACAGTTTGGGAAAATCATGTTTTTTAATTTATTACAACAAGTTGATTGGAGTTTCATTGATCAAAATTGCGACTTTAATGCGTCTGATTTGTTCTCGATCTTTATAGATACGCTACTATTGTATTATAATATCGCCTGTCCTGAGAAGAAACTATCGTGTAACAGATCCAAGGTCCATAATATAATTTGGTATACCCCTGATTTAAAAATCATGCGAGAAACTCTGCATCTAATATATAGTTCTTACAGATTATATGGGACTTTGGGTTTGAAAATAATGTATAATAACTTTAAGCGTAAATATGAAGAAGCTGTTAAAAAAGCTAAAATTGCAGCTAATAATGTCTTTATTAAAAACAATTCTAATAATTCTAAAGCTATGTGGTCATTAATAAACAGAAGTAGAAAACGTACTATTCATGAAACTACAAAAATCTCCTCTAACGAATTCAATTTACATTTCTCGAGCATTGCTAAAAATATTCTTAATTCCTTACCAAATACTAATCTTGATCCTGTTAAAATTATGATATCTGTTAATAACACGTCACATATGTTCTTTAAATTCAGGACAGTTAGTGAGGTACAAGTACGTGAGGCATTGAATAAATTAAAAAATAAGAGCAGTAAAGATATTTATGGGTTCAATGTCGACGTTATAAAATCAGTAAAGGATATACTAATTGCACCTTTGACCAAATTAATAAATAAATGTATTGTTGACTCGGTTTTTCCAGACTGCTTAAAATTGGCTTTGGTATGTCCAATATACAAAAAAGGTAATGTCAATGAAGTTGATAACTATCGACCAATCTCCCTTCTTCCAGTGTTGTCTAAAGTGTTCGAAAAATTAATGTTAGAACAAATCCTTGAATTCTTTATTAGTAATAACTTGTTTTGTACAAATCAGTTTGGATTTCGAAAAGGCTTATCCACTGAAAAAGCTGTTCTATCTTTTATTGATAATGTCGTTAAATCCTTTCAAGATGGTGAATATTTTGTGTCTGCCTTTCTAGATCTTAGTAAGGCATTTGACTGCATGTCTCATGAAATACTAATCCGTAAACTTTTTTTTTACAACTTTCAGCCAGATGCCACTAGATTAATTTCATCGTATCTTTTGAATCGATTGCAAGTAGTCTCTGTTGATGGTATAGTCTCCGATAAAGAACAAATCGCGTATGGTGTACCTCAGGGGTCCATCTTAGGGCCTCTACTTTTCTTAATTTATGTGAACGATCTGCCATACTTTTTCCCTGATTTTTTTACGATATTGTACGCGGACGATACTACTTTTAGTAAAAAGGCAATGTCATCTTCATTAGTAATAAGTACTCTTATGAATATATCTTCGCAAGCGGAACCTTGGTTTTTCGCCAACAAACTTTGCGTAAATAAGAACAAATCAGTTCAGATGGTATTTTCATTGAAGAAAGATAAGTCTTTTGCGGATACGAAAAGTACTAACAAGTTTCTCGGAATTGTTCTAGATACTAAATTACTTTGGCATGAACATGTGGATTATATTGTTCACATCATTTCTAAAAATACTTATCTCTTAAGAAACTTATCAAATCATGTTGATCAAAATATATTAAAAATTGCATATTATGCGCTAATACAATCTCACTTAGTATATGGTATACTAATCTGGGGACACAGCGCCTCGTCACAAAACCTTTTTAGGCTTCAAAGAAGAGCTATTAGAATCCTTTCAGGTATTGGTTATCGTAATGATTGCAAATTTTCATTTCAATCCTTAAATATTTTGACATTGCCCTGCTTGTACATCTATCACTGTTTTAAATTTTTAGTAAACCAAATTAATCAATTTCCTACACTGAGTTCTTTCCATGACTATAATACCAGGTCCACAAATTTGTTAATCGAAAATTTGAGAATAAACCGTTGCAGAACTGCCAGGAACTATTTCTGTATAGTGTTCTTTAACAAATTACCTCAGAGTTTCCGCAACCTTCCACCATATCAATTTCTAAAAAAAATCAAGGATGTCTTAACCGAAAATAGTTTTTATAGTTTCAATGAATATTTTCAATATAATTTTGAGTAATTTCTTGTTTATCATGTAGCTAGCTCATAATCTACATAAGTATTGTATTGCATGGTTTTTATGTTTATTTTTACTATTACATTCTTGTAAACTTTGGACGAGTGTATAAACTTTATGTTTTTAGCACAATAAAATTACTTACTTACTTACTTACTTACTTACTTACTTACTTACTTTACGTCCTTTTCGACCTCTTCGTTCTTTTTCGTCCTCTTCGTCCTTTTTCGTCACTTTCGACCTTCTTGTCCATTGTCGTCCTTTTCGTCCTTTTCGATCTTTTCGTCCTTTTTCGTCCTTTTTCTTTCTTTTTTCGTCCTTTTTCGTCCTCCTCTTCCTTTTCGTCCTTCCTCGTTTCTTTTCGTCCTTCTCGTCCTCTTCGTCCTTTATCGTCCTTTTCGTGTTTTCGCCTTTTTCGATCTTTTAGTCATTTTCGTTCTGTTTCGTCCTTTTTCGTTCTTTTTCGACCTTTTCGACCTTTTCGTCCTTTATCGTCCTTTTTCGTCCTCTTCGGCCTTTTTCGTCCTTTTTCGACCTGTTCGACCTTCTCGTCCTTTGTCGTTTTTATTCGTACTCTTTTGTCCTTTCTCGTCCTTTTCGTCCTTCTTCGTCCGTTTTCGTCCTTTTTCGTCCTTTTCGGCCTATTTCGTCCTTTTCGTCCTTCTTCGTTCTTTTCGACCTTTTCGTCCTTTTTCGTCCTATTAGTGCATTTTCGTCCTTTTTCGCCCTTTATCGTCCTTTTTCGTCCTCTTCGTCATTTTTCGTCCTTTTTCGTCTTTTCGAAATCATCGTCTTTTTTCGTTGTTTCGTTTTTTTCCTTCTTTTTCGTCCTATTTCGTCCTTTTCGTCCTTTTCCGTTCTTTTCGACCTTTTCGTCCTTTTTCGTCCTGTTAGTGCATTTTCGTCCTTTTTCGTCCTTTACGTCCTTTTTCGTCCTTTTCCGTCCTTTTCGACCTCTTCGCCTTTTATCGTCCTTTTTCGTCCTCTTCGTCATTTTTCGTCCTTTTTCGTCCTTTTCGAACTCATCGTCTTTTTTCATTCTGTTTCGTTTTTTTCCTTCTTTTTCGTCCTATTTCGCCCTTTTCATCCTTCTCGTCCTTTTCGTCCTTCGTCCTTCGTCCTTCGTCCTTTTCGTCCTTCGTCCTTTTCGTCCTTCGTCCTTTTCGTCCTCTTCGTCATTTTTCGTCCTTTTTCGTCCTTTTCGAACTCATCGTCTTTTTTCATTCTGTTTCGTTTTTTTCCTTCTTTTTCGTCCTATTTCGCCCTTTTCATCCTTCTCGTCCTTTTCGTCCTTCGTCCTTCGTCCTTCGTCCTTTTCGTCCTTCGTCCTTTTCGTCCTTCGTCCTTTTCGTCCTTCGTCCTTTTCGTCCTTCGTCCTTTTCGTCCTTCGTCCTTTTCGTCCTTCGTCCTTTTCGTCCTTCGTCCTTTTCGTCCTTCGTCCTTTTCGTTCTTCGTCCTTTTCGTTCTTCGTCCTTTTCGTCCTTCGTCCTTTTCGTCCTTTTTCTTCCTTTTCATCCTCTTTCATCATTTTTCGTCCTTTTTCGTCCTCTTCGACTTTTTCATCCTATATCGTCCTTTTTGGTTCTCTTTCGTCCTTTTTCGTCCTTTTCGTCCTTTTTCGTCCCCTTTCGTCCTTTTAGCCCTTTTCGTACTTTTTCGTTCTTCTCGTCCTTTTCGTCCTCTTTCGAGTTTTTGTCCCTTTCGTCCTGTTTCGTCCTTTTTCGTCCTTTTCGTCTTTTTCGCCATTTTTCGTCCTATTTCGTCCTCATGGTCCTTTTTCGACCTTTTCGACCTTTGCGTCCTTCATGGTCCTATTTCGTCCTTTTCGGCCTTTTCCGTCCTTTTTCGTTCTTTTTCGCCCTTTTCGAGCTTTTTCGTTCTTTGTCGTCCTTTTCGACCTTTTCGTCCTTATTCGTCCTTATTCGTCCTTTTTCATCCTTTCTCTTTCTTTTTTGTCCTATTTCGTCCTTTTCGTCCTTTGCATCCTTCTTATCCTTTTCGTCCTTCGTCCTTTTCGTCCATTTCGTCCTTCGTGCCTTTCGTCCTTTTCGTTCTTCGTCCTTCGTCCTTTTCGTCTTTCGTCCTTTTCGTCCTTTCCGTCCTTCGTCCTTTTCGTCATTCGTCCTTTTCGCCCTTCGTACTTTTCGTCCTTTCCGTTCTTTTGCTCCTTTTCGTATTTTTCGTCCTTCGTCCTTTTCGTCAATAGTCCTTTTCTTTCTTCGTGCCTTTGAGGATTGAAAATCGAAAAAACTGAAAAATTTGAAAATGAAAACTCGTATATCGTAAATTAAAGACACAAAAAAATGAAGAACTGAAAAATTGAAAATCGAAAAATTGAAGAAATTGAAACTGAAAAATCAAAATATTAAAAATTGGAGCATTGAAAAAACGAAAAATCCTAAAAGCGAAGAAAATGAAAAAGCGGAACGAAAAGAAGCAAATCGAAAATTTGAAGAAATGAAAAATTTAGAATTGAAAACTCGAGAAATTTTAAACTCAAAAACGGTAAAATCTAAAAACTGGAGAAGCAAGAAAAATGACAATCAGAAAAATTGCAAATGGGAAAACAGAAGGAACGAAAAATTGAAAAAATCAAAAACTATAAAATCGAAACACTGAAAATACGAAATTTGAAAAAAAATCTAAAAGCTGAAAAAACGCAAAATTGAGAAAAATAAAAATAATAAAAGGCCGAAAGGAAAATGTGCAAATCGAAAAACTAAAGAAATATAAAACTAAAAATTGAAAGATTGAAACTTGAAACATGGAAAAGTTGAAAAATCGAAAAACTGGAAAATTTAAACAAAAAATAAATAATTGAAAACTTGAAGAATCGAAAAATTGAAAAAGTAAAGAAAAT